AGAAATGTACTTAAAATTTGTGCCTAAGTTATTTCAAAGTATTTTTCCATAAAAACTATAATTCACACTGGCCTCCTCTCAGAATGATTGATGTGTTCTTGCAAATAGGGGCTATAAATTTTCTACCAATGTCACAGAAATACTAAGCATTGCCAGTTCCTTCACTCATTAAAACCCTAGAAATGGTATTGAACAAAAAGTAGTTTACTTTCTGTAAAGTATTATGTTTCAATGACCATTTGTGACTTAACAACAACAATAATACATACAAATGAAAACAGACAATTCAGCCTGAAAGAGAAAAATAATGAGAGAAAGCAAAACAAGGTGACTGAATGGCTGCACAAAGGAATATTAAATTGTCCTTAAATGCTTTGAAAAGAAATTCAAGAAGGATAAAGAAGCAGGGGAAAGTGCGTTTATGAAACTCTCATGTTAGTCTGTAAGCTGTCAAATATGAGCCATATTTACCTGAAGTCATGAAGAGTGCCCTTACCTAGAGGGAATGTATAGGTGTAAACTCAAATATCCAAAATTAGACCTTAACAGAATGCATGTATACCCACACTGACCTCTCAAACAACTACCCAGGTCATACAGAGCCATGAGTAATGGAAACTCTTGGTTTGGGCTCCAACTACATGTTAGTTTTGGCACCTCAGTTATGTATGACTAAGATAAGAGAGATGAGAGGAGGAAAGTGTTCCAGCATAGGAAATTAAGAGGAATTAGTAGCACCCAAGGTGCTATTATTTGTTCCTTGCTCAAAGGAAAAGCTTTAGAGATCCAGTTGGCTTGGAAATCCTCTTGAAACTGAGTATTTGGATAGAGCTGGTGGGCTGACTTTCTATTTGCTTATACAGGGGATGAATTCATGGAACTATAAGGAGGCAATCTGTAGTTGTTCTGGTTATTCCCAAAATGTTAGGTGTAAAACAATCAATCATAAATCTTAAAATGGCCACATTATGAGCAACTTCACCAACCCATCAACCATTCCCCACCATTTAAAATATTTCCCTAGTGGCACTAGGAACCAGCTGGCAATAATTATACTCAAGAGTTCCTCTTCAAACAAGTACTTCTATAACTAATCAGGAAATACCATTAGGGGAATATACTTCTGAGGATATAAAGGAGTATAAGATGAAAAAGGCAGACATTCAGATTAATCTTCTCAGCTTCTTTATATATCCCACCCCAATAAAACCATTAAGTCCACTGTTCCAGAAAAGATGTCGTTATACACAAATATTCTCACTACAGTTATTATTCATGACATTTTTGAGAAACAACAAAATTACAGAATTTTAGGGAGTAGCCAAAAAAAAGTACTCACAGATCTTTTTTTTTTTTTTTGAGACAAGTCTGCCTCTTTGGCCCAGACTGGAGTGCAGAGGCATGATCTCAGCTCACTGCAACCTCCACCTCCCAGGTTCAAGCCATCTTCCCACCTCAGCTTCTCGAGTAGCTGAGACCACAAGAAAGTTTAACAGATTCCTGGGAAATAGGAACACCTGAAAGCTGTAGATCAAGAGATCTGCTAATGGCAAAAGAGAGGAGGGAACTTAGAAAAAAAGGATGACCAGTGTATTAGTTCATTTTCACGCTGTTGATAAAGACATATCCGAAACTGGAGAGAAAAAGAGGTTTAACCGGACTTACACCTCCACATGGCTGGGAAGCCTCAGAATCATGGTGGGAGCTGAAAGGCACGTCTTAAATGATGGCAGCAAGAGAAAAATGAGGAAGAAGCAGAAGTGGAAACCCCTGACAAACCCATCAGATCTCGTGAGACTCATTCACTATCATGAGAATAGGATGGGAAACTCCTGCCCCCTATAATTCAATTACTTCCTGCAGGGTGGAATTCTTGGAGCTACAACACGTGGGAATTCTTGGAGATAAAATTCAAGTTGAGATTTGGGTGGGGACACAGCCAAACCATATAATTCTACCCCTGGCCCCTCCAAATCTCATGTCTTCACTTTTCCAAACCAATCATGCCTTCCCAACTGTCACTCAAAGTCTTATCTCATTTCTGCATTAACCCAAAAGTCCACAGTACAAAGTTTCACATGAGACAAGGCAAGTCCCTTCTGCCTATAAGCCTGTAAAATCAAAAGCAAGCATTACTTCCCAGATACAAAAGGGGTACACACATTGTGTAAATACAGCCATTCCAAATGGGAGATATTGGAAAAAAAAAAAAAAGGAGTTACAGGGACCATGCAAGTCCGAAATCCAGTGGGTCAAATTTTAAAGCTCCAAAATGATCTTCTTTGACTCCAGGTCTCACATCTAGGTTACACTGATGCAAGAGGTGGGTTCCCATGGTCTTGGGGAGGTCTACCTCTGTGGCTTTGCAGGATACAGCCTTCCTCCTGGCTTCTTTCACGGCTGGTGTTGAGCGTCTGCAGCTTTTCCAGGTGCATGATGCAAGCTGTCAGTGGATCTACCATTCTGGGATCTGGAGGATCATGGCCCTCTTCTCACAGCTCCACTAGGAGATGCCCAAGTGGGGACTCTGTGTGGGGCTCTGACCCCACATTTTCCTCTGCACTGCCCTAGCAGAGGTTCTCCATGAGGGCCCCACCCTGCAGCTTTTGCCTGAGTGTCCAGGCATTTCCATACATCTTCTGAAATCTCATCGGAGGTTCCCAAACCTCAATTCTTGACTTCCGTGCACCCATAGGCTCAACACCATGTGGAAGCTGCCAAGGTTGGGACTTCCGCCCTCTGAAACCACAGCCTGAGCTGTACATAGCCCCCTTCAGCTACAACTGGAGTGGCTGGGACACAGCCACTGCACACAGCATGGAACCCTGGAGCCTAGGCTGTACACAACACGGGACCCTGGAGCCAGCCAACAAAACAAGTTTTTCCTCATGAAACTCCAGACCTGTGATGAGAGGGGCTGCCAAGAAGGTCTCTGACATGGCCTGGAGACATTTTCCCATGGTCTTAAGGATTAACATTAGGCTCCTCCCTATTTACACAAATTTCTGGAACTGGCTTGAATTTCTCCCTAGAAAATGGGTTTTTCTTTTCTATTGCATAATCAGGCTGCAAATTTTCCAAACTTTGATGCTTTGCTTCCCTTATAAAACCGAAAGCCTTTATCAGTACCCAAGTCACCTCTAGAATGCTTTGCTGCTTTAGAAATTTCTTCTGCCAGATACCCTAAATCATCTCTCTCAAGTTCAGAGTTCTACAAATCTCCAGGGCAGAGGCAAAATGCTACCAGTGTTTTTGCCAAAATACAACAAGCGTCACCTTTGCTCCAGTTCCTAAGTTCCTCATCCCCATCTGAGACCACCTCAGCCTGGACTTTATTGTCCATATGGCTATAAGCATTTTGGGCAAAGCCATTCAACAAATCTCTAGGAAGTTCCAAAGTTCCCCACATTTTCCTGTCTACTTCTGAGCCCTCCAAACTGTTCCAAACTCTGCCTGTTACCCAGTTCCAAAGTTGTTTACACATTTTTGGGTATCTTTTCAGCAACGCCCCACTCTACTGGTACCAATTTACAATTTATTAGTTCATTTTCAGGCTGTCAATAGACATACCTGAAACAGGAAAGAAAAAAAGGTTTAATTGGACTTACACTTCCACATGGCTGGGGAGGCCTCAGAATCATGGCAGGAGGTGAAAGGCCCTTCTTACATGGTGGTGGCAAGAGAAAAATGAGAAGCAAAAGCAGAAACCCTGATGAACCCATCAGATCTCATGAGACTCATTCACTATCACAAAAAATTGCATGGGAAAGATACGATTCTATTACCTCCCCCTGAGTCCGTTTCATAACACGTGGAAATTCTGGGAGATACAATTCAAGTTGAGATTTGGGTGGGGACACAGCTAAACCGTATCAACCAGGTTACTGTTATCACATCAAGTGCTCAGAGAAAGATATCCCATGACAGGTAGTATCAGCAGAAACCATACTGAAAGGGAAAACATGGGATCAAGAAAGGATGAGATTTTGGCAGTTGTTATTAAAACTGTGCCCTGCTCAAGTATGTACCACCTTTAGAGAACTACTGTGTTAGGATTCTTAGTGAGGCTCACAAGAGTATAAACTGAGAGTATTAAATCACCATTATGGGCCGGGCGCAGTGGCTCACACCTGTAATCCCAGCACTTTGGGAGGCCGAGGTGGGTGGATCACGAGGTCAAGAGATCGAGACCATCCTGGTCAACAAGGTGAAACCCCGTCTCTACTAAAAATACAAAAATTAGCTGGGCATGGTGGTGCGCGCCTGTAATCCCAGCTACTCGGGAGGTTGAGGCAGGAGAATTGCTTGAACCCAGAAGGCAGAGGTTGCAGTGAGCCAGGATCATGCCATTGCACTCCAGCCTGGGTAACAAGAGCGAAACTCCGTCTCAAAAAAAAAAAAAATCACCATTATGCATTTGGGGCAGGGCTTAAGAGTCACATGAACTAGATGTTATCATTTTGATCAGAAGCTGTAATTATAACTCCCCTAAACTTTGCATACATATAGATGACATTTCGAAGTCCTTGCTGTAAGTCATAAACATCATAAATATTTTATCATAAAATAGTCTAAAAATACATTATATACAATAAGGTAAAATCATTCATCAGTTTAAAGTACCAATGGCTTTTTAAATGTTTAAATGTTTCTGAAATACTAATTATCAGATTTTTAAGAACAAGATCTTGGTGGGGTGCATTGGCTTATGCCTGTAATCCCAGCATTTTGGGAGGCCCAGTCAGGCGGATCACCTGAGGTCAGAGTTTGAGCCCAGCCTGACCAACATGGAGAAACCCCCTCTTTACTAAAAATACAAAATTAGCAGGGCATGGTGGCACATGCCTGTAATCCCAGCTACTCAGGAGGCTGAGACAGGAGAATCACTTGAAACCGGGAGGTGGAGGTTGTGGTGAGCCAAGATTGTACCACTGCACTTCAGCCTGGACAACAAGAGCAAAATTCTGTCTCAGAAACAAAAAAGAACAAGAGCTCAGTGATACGTTAGATAACTGAGTTTTTATTATACATTTGAACATGAACAAAACACAAAAAGATTCACCCTCAAATTTAAACATTCTACACATATTTTCCCCCAACAAAATGTGGGGTGCCATCTTAAAAGTCAGAGACTTAGAGTTTGGAAAATAAAGATTATGACATTTGAAAAATACTACACAATCAACAGTTTTGGAATTTATGAAATTATCAGAATTTCCACCTGGATTTCCATATATACCATTATTTCTGCCTGTACACCCACATTCAAACTCTATCTCCACCCCACAGGCAGCTCTAGTCTGTGGTTAACAGGTCAGTCATCCCTTTGGATCTTAGCAACGTAATCCTTGTTTGGTCCACCTTCATCAGTGCTTTTGCCAAACACCAAAGGCCTGTAGGAAACAGGCACAGCTGACCTACTCTCATCTATTTTAAGCCACAGAATCCCAAGAGGACAGAAGACTTTGCCTCCTTGGACCCTATTTCTGTAGTCTACTGTGACAGTAATGTTCCCACAACCTTTGTCCCAAGGCCAGTCTCCATAGTCTCTTATGGCTCAATTGATCCAAGGTTGTTTTTCCTGACTCTAGATTTAGATCAAGCAATTGTAAAAACCCATGAGGTGGCATCTCATTAACCTAGGATTCTGAGGTCTTTATTCATGGACTGTGTGACAGCCTATCTAGATAAGAAGAAAAAACACCATAATATTAATAGAACTAGCTATTACTGCTTCATAGGAACAAAGCCACCCAATGATGGAGCTTGAACTTTATATATAATATGAAGTAACTCAGTGGTATCTACCTTTCTTTCTTTAAAGATGGTCCCACAGACATGCCCCTCTCAGACTCCTGATTAAAATCCTAAATGTGCAAATATGCTCTTATGTCAACACTGACCCCATTATTTTCCCCCAACAGAGCATGTCTTTGAGTTCAGGTCTGTTCTTGCCTTTGCAGATTAGAATTGGGCTTTTGTTTTTTGGGGGCTTTTTTTTTTGAGACGGAGTTTCACTCTTGTTGCCCAGGCTGGAATGCAATGACACCATCTTGGCTCACCACAAGCTCTGCCTCCCAGGTTCAGATTCTCCTGCCTCAGCCTTCCAAGTAGCTGGGATTACAGGCATGCGCAACCACGCCTGGCTAATTTTGTATTTTTAGTAGAGAGAGGGTTTCTCCACATTGATCCAGCTGGTCTCAAACTCCCCAACTCAGGTGATCCACCCACCTCGGCCTCCCAAAGTGCTGGATTACAGGCATGAGCCAATGCACTTGGCCTTCTTTGGGTTTTTTTGGCCAAAGAGTAGAAAGAAACCAGAAAGGAAAAACCAACAATATGATTTTTCTATATTTTTAAAAGAATTTTTTCCTGTGAGTTTACATGTGAAAAGGCAATGAATATCAATTCTTCATAAAAGTGACTGAATTATCCTGGGGCAGAGGCTACAGTGAGCTGAGATTACACCACTGCACTCCAGCCTGAGCGACAAAGCAAGACTCCATCTTAAAAAAAGAAATAATAATAATAAGTGACTGAATTAAGAGATGAAAACGAAATGTGATAAAATAGGAAAACTTGTTCTTTAATAAGCATGATATTCAAGCCCAAATACAATAATGATGATAATAACAGATTCAACACCACGGTTGTATACACTTCCAGTGAAGCTTTATGAATTCCATTCCAAGCTCCTAGCACCAGGTAAACACGAATCATAGGTGGAAATATGCCCCCACCATGTTTAGCACTAGAAGCAGCATCACAGTTTATAGCAAAATAAAGGAGAACATGGTCAGATAAATAAATATTACAACATATACTGGTGATGAAGCTGCAATAAAGTAATATATGTGAGGTTTACAATTTTTTTCTTTTTTTACTGGGAAGGCTAGCTGTAAACATAAACATACACATTAAACTACCAGCCCCCCAAAACTTAACCTACATCACAAACAATAATCACCTTTGAACTATAAAATCATAAAAACTTGTACTCTATGGCTCTTTTGTCTCGGTGGGTTTTCAGAGAAAGAAATGAGCTGTGTTAAGTAGTTTCACTGATTTATCCATCTTGAATAGCTGCCAGTTCTGGAATCTCATTCATCCTCAGAACATCTTCATAGAGCAAATAATTATGTAGGCTTCTGGGAAGTGGCAACTGACTAATAAAACTGTCAGACCGGAGATGTTCTGATTTTAGACTGGACCGAATTTCCAAACGACAAAGATGGGTCAGGGATGGAATAGTGGCTGGAGAAACAAAAAAAATCAAGGTGAAAATTTTTTAAACAGAAAGATGTAACAGCACATTAAGGCAAATTCACATTTTTTCTTTTCCCAACTCTGTAATAAAAGTGATATGCTGCTTAGAATTACTATGAAAGAAGACTACTTTGAGTCAGGATGACCACAATAAACCCTATTTATTCTTTTCTACAGCCTTTAACTGGCTTCTCTCCCTTCAGTTGTCGGCCACACATTCAAAGTCAGTAGCCAGGGTCACAAACACTAAATGTTCAAATTCTAAATATCTGACAATACCTGCACTTAAGAAACGGATGAACTAACTTTAGAAATGGCAGAAGCTCATAGTAGCAAATACTACCTTCCTCTTAGTCTATTTCATTACAAATAGTTTCCAGACTTACCACATCAAGTGAATAAATGTACAGCTTGCAAATTTTCCTTTTAATCCAAAACAGAATTTCTGAATTGGATCTGAGAGAAAGGGAGAATTTACTGAGTGCCTTCTATGCCATAAACCCATGTACTTCACTCAAATTCTCTTTTTACCTTCATTAACTTCATGAGGTATATATTATCAGGCTATTGCAGAGATGAAAAACAACTTTTTTTTTTTTAATTGTACTTTAGGTTCTAGGGTACACATGCAGATCATGCAGGATTGTTGCACAGGTACTGCCTCCATTTCCCCCCCCATCACCTACATCTGGCATTTCTCCTCCCCATTCTCCTCCCCATTATCCCTCCCTAACCTCCCCAACTCCCTGCTGTCCCTCCCTTGGCCCCCCCAACAGACCCCAGTGTGTGATGCTCCCCTCCCTGTCCATGTGTTCCCATTGTTCATCACCCGCCTATGAGTGAGAACATGTGGTATTTAATTTTCTGTTCTTGTGTCAGTTTGCTGAGAATTATGGATTCCAGATTCATCCATGTCCCTATAAAGGACACAAACTCATCATTTTTTATGGCTGCATAGTATTCACGGTGTATATGTGCCACATTTTTCCTGTCCAGTCTATCATTGATGGGCATCTGGGTTGTTTCCAGGTCTTTGCTATTGTAAACAATGCCACTATGAATATATGTGTGCATGTGTCCTTATAACAGAATGATTTATAATCCTTTGAATATATACCCAGTAATGAGACTGCTGGGTCAAATGGAATTTCTATTTTGAGGTCCTTGAGGAATCGCCACACTGTCTTCCACAATGGTTGAACCAGTTTACACTCCCACCAATAGTGTAAAAGTGTTCCTATTTCTCCACATCCTCTCCAGCATCTGTTGTCTCCAGATTTCTTAATGATTGCCATTCTAACTGGCGTGAGATGGTATCTCAATGTAGTTTTGATTTGCATTTCTCTAATGACCAGTGATGATGAGCATTTTTTCATGTCTGTTGGCCTCATATATGTCTTCTTTTGAAAAGCGTCTGTTCATATCCTCCACCCACTTTTGGATGGGTTTGTTTGTTTTTTTTCTTATAAATCTGTTTCAGTTCTTTGTAGATTCTGGGTATTAGCCCTTTATCAGACGGGTAGATTGAGAAAATTTTTTCCCATTCTGTTGGTTGCCAATTCACTCTAATGACTGTTTCTTTTGCTGTACAGAATCTGTGGAGTTTAATTAGATCCCATTTGTCTACTTTGGCTTCTGCTGCCAATGCTTTTGGTGTTTTGGTCATGAAGTCCTTGCCCATGCCTATGTCCGGAATGGTTTTGCCTAGGTTTTCTTCAAGGGTTTTTATGGTGTTAGGTCTTATGTTTAAGTCTTTAATCCATCTGGAGTTAATTTTAGTGTAAGATGTCAGGAAGGGGTCCAGCTTCTGCTTTCTGCACATGGCTAGCCAGTTTTCCCAACACCATTTGTTAAACAGGGGATCCTTTCCCCATTGCTTGTTTTTGTTAGGTTTGTCAAAGATCAGACGGTTATAGATGTGTGATGTTGCCTCTGAGGCCTCTGTTCTGTTGCATTGGTCTATATGCCTGTTTTGGCATCAGTACCATGCTGTTTTGATTACTGTAGCCTTGCAATATAGTTTGAAGTCAGGTAGCGTGACTCTGGCTTTGTTCTTTTTGCTTAGGATTGTCTTGGCTATGCGGGCTGTCCTTTGGTTCCATATGAGGTTTAAGGTGGTTTTTTCCAGTTCTGTGAAGAAGGTCATTGGTAGCTTGATGGGGATAGCATTGAATCCATAAATTACTTTGGGCAGTATGGCCATTTTCACGATATTAATTCTTCCTAACCATGAGCATGGAATGTGTCTCCATCTGTTTATGTCCTCTCTTATTTCCTTGAGCAGTGGTTTGTAGTTCTCCTTGAAGAGGTCCTTTACAGCCTTTGTTAGCTGTATTCCTAGGTATTTTATTCTCTTTGTAGCAATTGTGAATGGGAGTTTGCTCATGATTTGGCTCTATGTTAGTCTGTTATTGGTGTATAGAAATGTTTGTGATTTCTGCACATTGATTTTGTATCCTAAGACTTTGCTAAAGTTGCTTATCAGTTTCAAGAGATTTTGGACTGAGACAATGGGGTCTTCTAAATATACAATCATGTCGTCTGCAAATAGAGACAATTTGACTTCCTCCTTTCCTAATTGAATATGATTTATTTCTTTTTCTTGCTTGACTGCTCTGGCTAGAACTTCCAATACTCTATTGACTAGGAGTGGTGAGAGAGGGTATCCTTGTCTAGTGCCAGATTTCAAAGGGAATGCTTCCAGTTTTTGCCCATTCAGTATGATATTGGCTGTAGGTTTGTCGTAATTAGCTTTTATCGTTTTGAGATGTGTTCCTTTGATACTTAGTTTATTCAGTTTTTAGCACAAGGGGCTGTTGAATTTTGTCAAAGGCCTTCTCTGCATCTATTGAAATAACCATGAGGTTTTTGTCTTTACTTTGGTTTATGTGGTGGATTACATTTACAGACGTGCGTATGTTGAACCAGCCTTGCATCCCCGGGATAAAGCCTACTTGATGGTGATGGATAAGCTTTTTGATGTACTGTTGCAATAGGCTTGCCAGTATTTTATTGAGGATTTTTGCATCTATGTTCATCATAGATATTGGCCTGAAGTTTTTTGTTGTTGTTCAGTCTCTGCCAGATTTTGGTATCAGGATGTGGTGTTGGTCTCATAAAACGATTTGGGAAGGATTCCTTCTCTTTGGATTGTTTGGAATGGTTTCAGAAGGAATGGTACCAGCTCCTGTTTGTATGTCTGGTAGAATTCAGCTGTGAACCTGTCTGGACCTGGACTTTTTTTGGTTGGTAGGCTATTAATTGCTGCCCCAACTTCAGCCCTTGTTATTGGTCTTTTCAGTGTTTTACCTTCTTCCTGGTTTAGGCTTGGGAGGATGCAAGTGTCCAGGAATTTATCCATTTCTTCCAGGTTTACTGGTTTATGTGCATAGAGTTGTTTGTAGTAATCTCTGACTGTAGTTTGTATTTCTGTGGAATTGGTGACATCCCCTTTATCGTTTTTATTGCATCTATTTGATTCTCCTCCCTTTTCTTTTTTATTAATCTGGCTGGCAGTCTATTTTGTTGATCTTTTCAAAAAACAAGCTCCTGGATTTATTGATTTTTTGAACCTTTTTTTGTGTCTCTATCTCTTTCAATTCTGCTCTGATCTTAGTTATTTCTTGTCTTCTGCTAGCTTTTGAGTTTTTTTAATTGTGCTCCTCTAGCTCTTTCAATTTTGACGATAGGGTGTCGATTTTAGATCTTTCCTTGATTCTCTTGTGGGCATTTATTGCTATTAACTTCCCTCTAGACACTGTTTCAAATATGTCCCAGAGATTCTGGTATGTTGTGTGTTTGTTCTCGTTGGTTTCAAAGAACATCTTTCTTTCTGCCTTCATTTCATTGTTTATCCAGTCAACACTCAGAAGCTAGTTGTTCAGTTTCCATGAAGCTGTGCGGTTCTGAGTTAGTTTTTGAATTCTGAGTCCTAATTTGATTGCCCTGTGGTCTGAGAGACTGTTATGATTTCTGTTCTTTTGCAATTGCTGAGTGATTTACTTCCGATTATGTGGTCAATTTTAGAGTAGGTGCAATGCAGTACTGAGAAGAATGTATATTCTGTGGATTTGGGGTGGAGAGACTGTAGATGTCTATTAGGTCCACTTGGTCCAGATCTGAGTTCAAGTCCTGGATATCCTTGTTAATTTTCTGTCTCGTTGATCTGTCAAATATTGACAGTGGAGTGTTAAAGTCTCCCACTATTATTGTATGGGAGTCTGAGTCTCTTTGTAGGTCATTAAGAACTTGCTTTATGTACCTGGGTGCTCCTGTAATGGGTGCATATATATTTAGGATTGTTAGGTGTTCTTGATGCATTGATCCTTTTACCATTATGTAATGTCCTTCTTTGTCTCTTTTGATCTTTGTTGGTTTAAAGTCTATTTTATTAGAGACTAGAATTGTAACTCCTGCCTTTTTTTTGGCTCTCCATTTGCTTGATAAATCTTCCTCCATACCATTATTTTGAGCCTATGCGTGTCCTTGCACATGAGATGGGTTTCCTGAATACAGCACACTGATGGGTCTTGACTTTTTATTCAATTTGCCAGTCCATGTCTTTTGACTGGGACATTTAGCCCATGTACATTTAAGGTTAATATCGTTATGTGTGAATTTGATCCTGCCATTTTGATGCTAGCTGGATGTTCTGCCCGTTAGTTGATGCATTTTTTTTCATTGTGTTGATGGTCTTTACCATTTGGTACATTTTTGGAGTGGCTGGTACTGGTTGTTCCTTTCCTTGTTTAGTGCTTTCTTCAGGAGCTCTTCTAAGGCAGGCCTGGTGGTGACGAAATCTCTCAGCAATTGAAAAAACGACTTTCTAAAGTCACAGAGCTAGTAAAAAGCACAGCCAGGATTCAAACTGAATCTTGAAGCGTGTGTGTGTGTGTGTGTGTGTGTGTGTGTGTGTGTGTGTATCTGACAAGCCACTGCAGCCAAAAGCTAATTACCAATTAAAGGACAATCCACATGCACATAATCAA